AATCTGAAGCCATCAAAACTTCCATGGAGTAAACGAGAAATATGATATCAGTCAACTCAGGTTTCCATGCACATCATATACACAGAAAAATATTAATGGAGCCTCTCTTCCTTGTAGTGAATATTGCAATCTCATGTGGCAGCTAACTATCCCCTCAAAAAACAACAGCAACAACAACAACAAAAAAAAAAACCAAAAAACTAGCAAACAAAAATGGTGAATCCAATAACTGAAAAAGTTGTTGTCCTAATATGTAAAAATTTTCATTATCAGTGTAATAATCTTTGACAGACTTAGAGATCACACTAATGAGTGAAGACCTTTAGGCTTCAGAAATAAAAGAAAGGGAGATAGATTCTAAGAATGGGACAAGGAGGTGACAAAAAAATAGCTAAACTATGGAAAAAAAGAGCTAATTTGAGAGGCTATATTTGGAAATACCATATAACAATGTAAACAATGTCCTTTGTTTATCCTTTAAAACCATCAGCTAATTCTATACTACACACCAATGTACTAGTACTAGGAAGGTAGAATTTTGTTTCTATGAACCTCAAAAGAAACAGTTGACATTACAAAGAAAGATGCTTATCACTTTTATTTATCATAAATTAGTTTCTCTCTATTCTCACTGAATAAATATCAAGCAAAACTTTTCAAAAGCAAATTGGTTTGAAGAGGCACCAAATTATTATTGCCTATTTAGGTACTCACATGGACCTCAAACCAGCCCTGTGCAGGAAGTTATCATCCACACACTAACTTTGTCCTGATTTGTAATTTTTCCTCTACCTTTTCTGTACTGCTCCCAACTGTTTTTATAGTATGTGTAGTTTTATAAGTTACTTCAAATCTTTTATGAAACAAGGTTGGTGATAATTACAAATAATGTCATAGATGATGACAGTCCACAAAAGTAATATAGCCTTCTGTTATAAGGTTATTTCCCCAGTTCTAATTTGAGATGACTCAAATAAATCTACCCTCCCCCAAACTGACATACTGGTGTCAAAGAGCTCTTCTCTCTTTTGTCCATCTCCAGGGACAGTGGAAGAAGGAAAGATGCCCAAATGCCTCCTCCAAAAGCAAGGTCTTCTGCAGGGTACTCAGAGGGGTATGGAGCAGAATCAAGGACCAAATTTGTGAGGTAACTGCAGCCTCATGCTAACATTAAAGCTGAAAAGAGCTCTGACCTCTACAAGCTCTTGGGGCACATCCTAGCTCCCTAGGCCATAACAATTGTTTTCTTCTCCATTAGGAAAACTAACTCTTGTTGGAGATCAGAGAATTTCTATCACAATAAACAGAAAAACAATCTCATAACCTCTCTTCTTTATTTCTATCCTAAAGCAAGCACTCAGCTCTTGGAAACTTCTAAGGGTACTCCTTTTATAAAGACGTTTAAAACCAACAGTAAAAAGTGTCATTCCTTCCTAAAACCTTTACTTCCTCCCCTTAGACTATATATAAAAATATTCCACACAGATGCTAAAGACAAGTCCTTACATAAAGAACTAGGTCAAATTCATCTTGAGGATTTCCTTCCAAGGAAAAGCTGACTAAGGCTGTGCTATTTCAGGACAGTAGTAGAGAGCATGGAATGTAGGAAGGGAGCAAAACAACCGTGCATTTACAACTTACCAAATCGGTTAGCCCAGCTAAAGCAAAAACTCCTAGTGCAACATTAAAATCTTCTTCAATAATCAAATATCCCAAAATTGGGGCCAAGCCAATTCTTGTCATTGACAACATATTTGGGATTGTCCATGGATTTTCATACTGAAACACAAAGACAACAAAACTTAAATAATAAAAATTCACACTTTAAATAAACTTATACATCAAAAAGTCCACTTAATAAACTTAACAATAAGAAGCTACATAAATTTTAAACTTTGTACTCATATATAAGTGTGTGTGTGTGTGTATAGACTGAGTTTTCATTCTAAAGACTGAAGAGACAACATGTATTATCATGTAAGTTAAGCCTTTATTATTTAATACTGCTTTTAAAAGTTAAATTTCTGAACGATCTTATTAAGTAGACAAGTCTAGAAAGTATTAGAAAAAAGTCAAATTATCAACCCAGGCACTGCAACTTCAAACATTTATTGCAATCTACTTCCCTCATTCCCTTACACAGACTTAATTCAATAATCTCATCACTAAGTAAGAGAATTGCTGGAAGGAAATACATACAGGAATATCTTTATTTTCCTATGACAGACATTTGTAAATATGTTCAAAATAGCAATGGCAATGTTACACCCTCAAGTAGAAACCCAGGGCTTTCACAGTTCCATATGAGAAGTTTGATTCCTTGAAACTTCATTTGGAACCAAGCTGTTAGAAGCTGGCATTAACCAAAGAGCTCTTTGACAGCTGCTCTAAAGAACAACCCCCTTCCTTGCCAAAAAGAATCTGATTCATAAGAAGGTATTTCAATTTAAAAAAAACCCTTAGCCTAACGGAGCTAAGACTCTCGGCACAACAGGGTACAGAAATAACAAGAAAATGCCTTTCCCTAAAGCCTAGATTTTTTTCTCTACTGAATCAAGACTGACAGTTTCACCCCGTGAGACTTTAAAGAACTAACCCTACACTTAACTCTTTTCTTAATCAGTAATCAAGTTGCCTAAATCTTTCATCTTTCAAAATACCATGAACTACTGGGTAAGAAAAGGCATTCTCTAAAGAAAGCATCTCTAAAAATACTAAGTTTGAGTTTATAAACAGAATCCAGCAAGAAAGCATCTCAGTTCACAGGGGTAAGAGAGAGAGACTGTTTGAGGGGTCAGGTGGCAGAATACTGTAACTGAAAACTACAGAACAACTTCATATTTCCCAGTGAACAGTCACTAAACAAGAATCAAACCTCTACTTGAGATCTTTTATTAAAAATAGGACACATTATAATTACATGAAAACATTCTAAGAATATATTTCAAATTTAAGTTCAAATATTACAGTGTTTTAGAGCCAGGAGTGATGGCACACACCTGTAATCTCAGCAACTTGGGAGGGTGAGGCAGGACTGTAAATTGGAGGCCAGCCTCACAAGTTACCGAGACCGTCTCAAAATAAAAAACTAAAAGAGCTGGGGATGTAGCTCAGTGGTAAAATGCCCCTGGGTTCAATCTCCAGTATCTTCCACTCCTGCAAATCATCATAGTGTGTCAGAGTCCAAAGGAAAAAAGATAAAGTCTGTTGACAATACTGTGGTACAGAGAAGTCAAATACTGATTCAAAGGTACAACAACGCACAGAAGGGGTGGAGAGGGAACATTCATGATTGAGAAAATGGGAAAGCAAATCAAGATCACAACGAAGAGCCCCAAAATAATAATCTCAGAGATACCTATCAGACAAAATTAAACACAAAATTGCAAAAAGCCACTTCCACTTTGGTGTATTAATAAATAACTGAAAGTTATTGGAACAGTTAAAGAGTTCTTTTAAGCTCTACATAAAATATTTCAGTAAAATAAAGTATCTCATTAATTTCTAGCTATTAAATTTGTAAGTTTCAAAGTTAATATTAGGAGAGCTAATCTCAGATTACCCAACCAGATAACCTGTGGCATACTCGACCAACTACTGCCGTTCTGAGAAGGACTTCAGCCAGGACAGGGCAATTTCAAAGCATCCAGCATTCAAACCCCAACATGCTTTAGCTATTAGTGGAGTTGAGACTCCTGCCAGGATGTGGCCACCTCAACCCATGCTGTACAACTGATGAAAGCAGTACAGGGGCCCACTGAAGACCTAACAATTGAAGATGTAATAATTGCATCAGCCTTGCTGACATGACATCAAAAGCTGTCTCACTCATGCTCTGATGTCTTCTGCCTGAGAAGTATTTCAACAGGTAAGTGGACAGGTATTTATTTCCGTTAACAGTTTTAATCTTTCTCTATAACTCAAGGTGAAAGGACTTTTAAAATTACACCTAATAAACTATTTAATTATACTTCATCCTAATGTGTCAGGTCAAATTACGGTGAATCAAACCTGCACAAGCAAAGGGAAGGGACTGTATACTTTTCTGAAGATTCCCACAGATTCGCCCTATACCTTAGGGATTCGCTTTAGAAAACTAAAAACAAACTTTCGATAAGGCTAGCGAAGACTTTTTTTTTTTTTAAAACCAATGCAATATGCATAGGCGCTTTCGGCAACGGGTGCAGATAAAGAAGGATAAGAACGAGGTTTCTAACTTGACAACCTAAACTGGAGGCGACCCTGATGGTACCCCTGAAATTCATCCTGGCCGAATACTTCTCAGGAAATGGTGGAAAAGTTCTGAAACCAAACCGTTGGGACAGCCCACCGTCCGCCACTCCCGCCCAGGACCAACCCCGGAAAGCCGGCGCCCCTCGCGCCCCGCTCGGTACGTACCGGACTGGGGGCGCTCGCCGGGACCCACCCGCCGCCCGGGGCCTCCGCGGCGGCGTCCCCTCCTGCCGCAGGCCCGGGGGCCGCTTTGCCCGCGCCTGAGCAGTGGCTCCGTGGGCCGACTCTGGGCAGCCGCAGGGCAAGCGCGGCCGGGCGCAGCGACCAGCGCTCGGCCTGGCAGCTCAGGCAGCAGGGCACGAGCGGCAGCAAGGCCCCGCGGGAGCGCCCCTTACCCGACCGCACCCCTAGCACCCAGGCGGCCGCACGCAGGGCCCCCCACGAGCCGCGCGCCAAGCGCGAGGCCAGCATGGCCCTGCGGCCGTGCCGCGAGGGCCGAGGCGGCGAAAGCTCAGCAGCTCGGGTCACCGGCGAGCCTCTTCTCCATAGAGACCCCGAAGTGCCGGGGAAGCACGGCCGCTGGTGCCTCCATACTAGTTTCAAATCCCAGCACGCTCCGCTTATACAGGTGGCCTGGAACCTCCAAGGAAGTACGCTTTCGCGACACTTTTGCGACATCGACGCTATTCGGCTCCCCAGCGCCCCCGGGCGGCAACGGGAGGTGTGTGCCGTTAGGATCCCGCGGGCTTTGCGGAAGTGGTGGGTACCTGGCGCGGCCTCAGAACCAAAGCCAGTGGGCTGGGAAAGGGGGAGAGGAGCACGGACTCATGTGACTGTTTGGCCAAAGTGGCTGGAAGGCAGCAGGCGTCATCTAAGGTAGCAGGGTGAAATCCTCCGAGGCTGGTCGACATAAAACAACCTTTGAGATGTATGTGGAGCTTTGGGGTCCTTGTGGGAGGCTTAAAATATTAGTCAAGTATCTGGTGTAGCCTAAGTATTAGCTCTCTGTTCCTTTCCTGCTTTTATTAAAATGAACATATATATCTAGGTGTAAAATAGGAATAATGGAGAATGTCAGTAATAAAAATTGCTAATTGTTTACCCGGGAAGAGAACTTACTATAAAGGCTAAAGTGCATTATTATCTCATTTAATCCTCCCAATTCTAACACAGGCTCCTCCAGTATTACCTTTACTTTTAGTTATAGAAAACAATTAGGTTTAGAGGTTAAAAAAACTTGCTTGTTCTAAGAAAATCCCAAGTAGTCCCAAAATCCCAATTAGTTAATCATTGATTATTATGTATTCAGTATTAACATGTTACATATTAACACATTAACATTGTTGGTTATTTGAGGTGCCACTACCATGGAGCTACATCTTCTGCTGTACCAAACAATATGAATGGGTCTTGTGGCTTCCATTACACCCTTCCAGGGGGTGGTCTGTGATGGCATACCCACTTTAAAGTTGACCTTAAAGACCAATTGAAATTGAACATAATTATAGACCTGAGCATTTTATCAAGATTATCTTTAATTTCTTATGCACATGTTGAAATGCTGATACTGAGGGAAAAACTGATTTTTTTGTTCTAGCATTGTAGAAACAAGCTCTGGAATCAGACATTTACAATTCTCCTAGGTAGACATGGATTTTGAATAACCCTGGTAAGGGAAAATTGGGCAGAAGGAAGGAGAGGAAAGCCTAGTCCAGAGCTTTTATTACTATTAGTAATAAAAGCTTATAGGAGGGGAGGCCCCCTATTGGGCAGGAAGTGAAACATAAACTTCAACTTTACTTAATATTATTACCCTTTGATCTTTCAAAGATCCAAAAGGTCCTATTTCCTCTTTAATGTCTACTACTTTTGATATCATCTCTTGAGTTCTTATGAAACATACTAAGTCTGTTTATTCTTTAAAGACATAGTTACATTACCATCTACCTTTTCAAAAAATCAGCTTTTAATATTCACATTGAATATTAATCCCACATTCATTTTAGTTTTGATCTTATTATTGTTTAAATATTCAATGTACCTTGTTTTTTTAATTTTTTTTTTCATTCATCTGGTTTGCTGAAAGTTTTAGTAGATTTTCCAAATGGCTCACACTGCCTGTATGTTAAAAGTGTTTGCTGGCTACATACACAAATGCTAGTTTGGCTGGCAGCCTAGTTCCATTTTAATTCACTCACAAAATGTGGAAAATTCTGACATAAGTGGTCCAGTCTCCTGAACTAGAACTGGGAAAACTCCCTAGCATCCTATGAAAAGCCTTCTTTAACTGTTTCTGGATTAGGCTTCTCTTTAGAATTCAGCAATTTAAAGATGCCCATGAAGAATCCCTTTGTTGCTCTTCTGGTGTGGGTACGGGGTATTCTTTAGTCTTTCTGCAGAGGTTCCTGGTATGTAAGTGACATCAGTGGGGCATGGGGGCTGTAGCACATTCCTATTTAGCATCCAGTGTGGCAGTAGGGTGGTAGCAGTTTCCTTTTCAGGCCAGTTCTAAGGCATGGTTTTACAAATTGCTTCTGGAAGCTTATCCTCTTGGATCATCTGCCTTCTTACAATTCTGTAAGGTAACCAAAATTCTTCCCCAAAACTTCTTCTCTTACTTAATCAAGTTCTACTGCTTGCAACCAAGAGTCTACAAAAACTAGCCTGTGGGTCAAATCAGACACCCTGCTTATAATTGCTAAATAGTTATTTTTTAAAAATTCAGAATATTTTATATTCTCAACATGAAAGTTTTAAAAAATTCAGATTTTAGTGTTGAAAATTTTATTGGAACATGGACAGACTCATTTGTTTAGGTATTATCTGAATGTTTTCCCTGATGAACATCTAATATATGTAAAACTGAAATGTTAAAAAAAATTCAAAAATTCAACTATAAATAATTTATTTCATTTAGATAAAACAATGTAAATAATTTGTTTTTTGGAGAATCTATAAAATTTTAACACATGACTATCACTTTTTATATTATAACACTTTCTTCCTAATGTATTACTTTTAGATCATTATCTTTCAGAACAATTTTTTACATAGTCTTCATTTTTGAGACAGCTTTAAATGAAGTCCTTGACATGGCAAAGCCATTTCACATAGTTTGAAGCTGGTAAATCTTTGGGCCTTTTTTCAAGAGGAAACCTTGGTCATTGAGTGATCCAATAAAGTTTTCAAAATCAGCAACCTGGAAGAAAACATCAAAAAAAAAAAAAAATTAGCCTGTTAAGTAATAGCCAAAATATGACTTTTTAATCTCTCCAATAGTAATATGTAACTATCAAGTTTCTTGGGGAAATAAAATTATTTGTACTTTTTACTGTACCTCAGTATATTTTTAGTGTAAAAACAAAAATTAGACTAGCTTTTAAAATTAAGTAATTTTACCAAAACATGTAAACTGTTTTACATGTTTAAAAATGCAATTACATTGATTTTTCCCTAGAACTCTGAAATAGGAAGAATGGATGGAATGATGTACATATAACAGATGAAGAAACTGAGGTTCAAAGACAATAAGATGAATTGCCCACAGGGATTGTCAGCAATCCCCGTATGGAGACTGGGTCTTGCTATGATGCTTCCCTCTAGCTATGAAGATGTTGAAAGAACTTTGTAAAGAGGTAGGTATAAATCTTAAATAAAAACTGTTTTTGTTCTATTATACATTAATGAGACTCCTGAAATTATTAATAAAAAAAGATTAAGTATTTAGTTTATCATACCTGAATATTTAGCTCTTTGGCAATCTGTCGAAGTTGATGGAACTGAAACAGATTATTATAAGTTCTTTCAGCAATGCTGTTGAGTGCAGAAATAAATCTTTTTGCTGTTGACCTATTGCTCATTCCAGAGCCGTGCTGTGATCGCTCAAAATCTAGGTTTCCAAATTCATCAGAGTAAGTTCCTAGCATGCTTAAGGAAAGGGAAAGAAAATGTTATCCAATATAGCATGGCTATAGGAATTTTTGTTCTGGGTTTCTAAGTGTATCCCAACGACATGGGAGGCTGAGGTAGGATCACAACTTCAAGGCCAGCCTTAGAAACTTAGCAAAAACCTGTCTCAAAACAAAACATAAAAAATTAGAAAGGGCTGCGGATATAACTCAGTGGTAAAGCACCCCTGGGTTCAATCTCTAGTACAAAAAAAAGAAGAAAAAAAAAAACAAAACAGAAAAACCTGGAAGTAGCCATGAGATTCTCACTTAGCAAAGATTCAAACGTATTTTTTGAGTGACCACTTTGAAATCCAGTATGGTATAGATTTGTTTAGGATAAGAACATTTTGGACACAGTTACAACTGCTTTTAAGAAAATTTTAAATTTGAAAAGAGAAACACATAAAAGCAGAGTTGATAAACTACAACAACACCTGAAACATTCTTTTTAAATTATGAAAAGAAGAAATTCTAAACATAATAAATTTAGGTTTTATTTGGTAAAGATATGTTCCTATTTCCTAGAGAGGAGGCATCTGGCAAAGAAAAGACATTTTAAAATACTCTACAAATGAACTAGGTTTATGCTGATGCGCAGTAATGATGGTTAGATATTACCTCCAGCTCTCTTTCACTTTCTCTTATTTTTACAATATCACCAAAGAAAGAAATATGCACTTGACAGTGAGTTTTAGCTGGAAGTCTGAAAACACCAGTTAGAGATTAAATTAACCAGCCTATAATCTAGCTTTATTGCCAGTTCCCTAACTGTACAATGAAACAGATACAAACTCATAGCCAGGTTAAGAAGCAAAGATGTTATTTAATCAGAAATTAATCAACTATGTATCAGTCACTTGCTAGGCAGTGGGTTTATATTGGTGAACAAGACAGGTACAATCCCTGCACTTATGGAGCTCATAGGAATGATCTTAAAGTCACTAACAATAAACTTTCCCGGTGTTCCTTGAACAGATAATAGCCTACGTTAAAGAAAACAAACTGAACTAATAGGAATATAAGACTATAATAAAACAACAAAACTTATGATGAGTATTTTCTTCTCTGAAAAGTATAATTTTACTTAGGCTTTTATGATTATAGTATGCTTCTTATAAGGTGTCAAAATGCTTTAGGTTAATAATTAGGTAACACTAACCTTAATTATATATTTTTTTTACCATAGGCTATCCAATTTAATCCTTCCCCAAACCCTATGATTTAGAGTCTATTATTTCCATTGTACATATGAAGACACAAAGTCTTGGTAAGGTTAAGTGACTTGCCAAAGGTCACACAACTAATAAGTGGCATATTTTGAATCTTAATCCATGCTACAATGTTGCAGATATGAAGAAAAATATGTTAGATATTTGAGCTACTTTCCTGAAATAGAAAAAACTCAAAATAATCTCCAACCTTTAAAGGTTGCTCTATTCTGTTATGTTTCCTAGTGTATTTTCAATTTTAGAAGAATCTTATATGTACCATTTACTAAATGCAAACATTTAATTTTCAAAAAATATACAGCTGTGTGCCCTGCTAACTCAGATGAACTATGTCACAGTTCAGATTTTTTTTAGTCAAGCTTAGGCTTCCCAATTAAAATGTAATTTTACAGTTTCAAAAACCACTTTAAGGGCAAACCTTCAATGAAGCTGAAGAGATAAGAAACTCTAAAACAGAAAATTTAAAGAATGAACAATGATTACTAAGCTCACTTTTAGCATTAAATGTGGGCCTTCTGTGTGCCAGGCATGATTCTGGGCCTTAGAATACACTGTGGTAAATGAGACTGAGAAGGTCCCTGCTCTCATAGGCTAAGGAGAAAGCACGTTTAGTATAGAAAACAGATAATCCAATGTAATCTCAATATGTTTAACTGGGTCTACCATGGAAATAATGCTACACACAATTCAAATCATTTGCAATCCATTCTCTATCCTCACTGTTGCTGACAAACTCTAACATACTGAATTAAAGAAAAAGTCCCTCCTCTTTAATACGCTGCTTATAAGAGAAAAAAACAAGCTCAGATTATTTATTGCTCAGGCCTTCAGGAGGCAGTTTGGGTTCTCTTCTAATCATATGCATACCTGCAGAGACAGCTGAGGGAACCAAGCAGCCTCCATGTATGAGGCAATACCAGACTGAGGATAAAGAAAACTAGATAAAGTCTTTCCCCATTAGGAAAGAGAAAAAAGATTCTCTAGTTGAGGGCTGTTGCACAATTTAGAGTGACAGCACTGAGAATTAGACCCTAGAAATTCTTTGATGGTGTAATTTTGCAATCTTCTAATATGGGATCCAAAATTTGCCAGTTTTTGAAGGGTTCAGTTTATGGTATGAGCCAGAGGAAAGAGGGGATATTCTCAATATCAAAGCTGGCACCGAGACTAAATAGTGTCATTGAGTGTCCACTACTGTGCCAGAACCACATTTATCACCTTCAATAGCATCACTGAAGACACATCAGAGCACAATCCTTTGTGGTGTGTTTTATACAAGAGACTGAGAGCAGAGTCTAACTTGCCTAGCAGCTCCAGATTGGACTCTACAGCCTTGTTTTTCCAGCTGTGAGGCACTATAATTCATAGCCAAAGAGAAACAACTGGGCAAAGCCACCTAGTTCTGACACCATGCAAGCCCCAGAATATCAGCAACTAGAAAACTAATACATCTACCTTTGATGAAATAGAAATGACTTAGCATAAGATAAAATAATCTTTAACATACTTTTGGCCTTGGAAAAATAGAATCCTAACTGATTTAAATTTTATTTGCTGTGAGAGCATATTGAAAAAATAAAATTAATACCTAAATTATGATAAAGTTGTGAAGATGAGGGCGGAACTCTTCTAGGCAGTGATATGGAACAATAACCAAAATACATTCTAAATGAAATCAATGTTTATATACAATATACATATACAATATATACAATATTCATATATAATATACAATTGCATATGGTATGCAACCATCTGTCTGCAAAGGGGAAAAAAGAAAATATACATATGTAGTTGTGATGAGTATTTTGTATCTGTAAGTCACACAAAAAATTGGTAATATTTGTTGCTACTAAGGCAGGAGGAGGAAGAACTGGATAGCTATTAAGCAGGTTAAGAAGACAGCTTTTCTACTACCTAATTTTTAACTTTGGAATTTTGAATTTTATTATAAATGTATTTAAAATTTAAAATTTGGGGGGAAAAGAACACTAAAATAATTAGCTTTTACTTTTGCTGATTAAAAAAATAAATACATGTCTAAGGTATCCATATATACTCAATTAAAATAAAAACTTTTCTACCTTCTAAAAATCATGATCTGCCTAATGATATAAAATGCAAAGGATACAAGAGAGCACTGTTTATCAAAATTGAAATATAATTACCTTGTAAGCAGCAATATCACTTTTAAGAATATATTAAAATACAATTTACCCACAAGTGAAGCATCTTATATAGAATATTACTTATGTAGCACTGTTTCTAATAGCCAAGAATCAAAAATATTCATGAATCTAGCAATGAGGGACTGATTAAATAAACTACAATGTATCTTACAACAGAATACTATGTAACTATTTAAAAAGTTCCCTATTATTTAATAAAGAATGATCTATGGATACCGCCTTAAATTTAAAAATGGTACAGAACAGTGTAAACAGTATGCTATTTAAGGGGAAGTAATGGCTGTCTCAGAGGGGAAGGATGAGTGGTAAATGGAATAAAAATAAGCATTCTCAAAATATGTATTTTTTATTTCAGAACCATGTGAATGTATTACCCATTAAAAATTTTTTTTTTTTCTTTTTTTAACTCTCCCCGCCAACTTCAGTACTAGAGATTGAACCCAGAGGCACTCTACCACTGAGCTACATCCCCAACCTTTTTTTTTTTTTTTTGAGACAAAGGTTTCCCTAAATTTTCCTAGCTTACAATCCTTCTGCATCAACCTCCCAAGTTGCTGGGATTATAGGCATGAAATACCACACCAAGCTCAAAAATTACCTAAAGATTTACACAGCCAGAAATATTTTAAACCAAGAAAGTATAATTTCTTTGAAGGAAAATAAATAATCTCATAAGCTAAATAACCTTATTAACAATATAATTTGAGATGGGAAGATAGATAACTATCTTTTCATTTTAAAAGCATTTAAAATTTTAAACTCACCTATATTTCATAATTTGAACTATATCCTCAGCATCTTCTTTGGTTGCTTCCTCTCTTAATTCTAACCTTGCTCGTGCCTTTGAAAAGAAACAAGAATTTTAAAATAACAAAAGTTAAATATGTTTACTACTGTTTGAGCATGTATGCTATGTCTAACTTATTTATTCACTGTACATAACAACTGACTTTTGAGGGAGATAGGAAAAGTCAGAATTACAAAAATAATTAAAAAGCTTGAGTATAAAAATAACATTTAAAATACTGATAAAACTTATTCCTACCTACTAACATCTTTTTCTAAGAGTGTTCATTTCAGAAAATTTTATTATTTTAACTACCAAAATTCTTGTAGCATCCCAAAATGTGAAATGAAAAGATATTGCTGTTAGAAAAATAGGTATTATCCTTACAGACCTATTAGGTAATCAAATCAAACACCTAAGTACTTGGCACATTTCATGTTACCAAATACCCAACATGGTCTTTTCAGACACTTGAGGAATTTCCCAAGTGCCATTAAAAAAAATAAGGGTTGGGCGTGGTGGCACATGCCTGAAATCCCAGTGGCTTGGGAGGCTGAGGCAGGAGGATTGAGAGTTCAAAGCCAGCCTCAGCAACAGTGAGGCACTAAACAACTCAGTGAGACACTGTCTCTAAATAAAATACAAAATAGGGCTGGGGATGTGGCTCAGTGGTCAAATGTTCCAAAGAAAAAGAAAAGTTACATAGTAAGTAACTGGTCCAGTGCCTAGAAAGAAATCACTATATGTTGACATGTTACAGTTGTGACCAATCTTTTTAAACACTTATACATCAATTTTTAACATCTCTCCATAGGAAGAAAAACTAAGTCAGTTGTGCAGCAATCTGATCAAAATGGAAATTACATCTACCCTCTTATTGCCAAAAAAAAAACAGTATGAACGTAAAATTAACAAACCTCTGTTAGACGGATCAAAGATTCCAGCTGCCTAGTAGTGATTGGTGAGCTATTTAACCGCTGGCTCTGTTTCCGGAGCTCCAGGTAGAAATCTTGAAGAACTTGAGCAGCTTCTGTGGACAGCCTTGGGTAGACATACTGTCGAGCATAGCCAATATACTTTCTCAATAGCTGGTGAGGAATCAGATCTATTGTTTCTCCAGGAACCACCTAAAGCATGATAGAAAGGCCCAAGATTACAGAATAAGCAGCAATAAAATCTTCCTGCTAAAATAACTTGTTTAGAGAAATATATAATTCTAAAATATGTACTTCTAAACAAAGAAAACATTATAGCTGTAGTTCTCATTCTCACTGACTTAGATGATTTCAAAGTTTACATAAACTCTAGTATCATTGTATGAAAGTTTATATATTATTGCTCTACCATAAACCAAACACTGAACTTTTTTTTTTTAATCTCTTTTTGGTTGCTGGGAATTGAATCTAGGTCCCATTATGGTGCCATAAACCCAACTTCCGTCACACACTGAACATTCAAATAGAACCAAACTGAAGGATTAAGGAAAAACATGTATACCTTTAGTCTTTCTGATAATGGTTTCTCAGAAACCACTTCAAGTATGGAAGTATTTGAATCTTGACTATTCATACGAGCTACTGTGGCACTGCTAACAGTTCTCTGCTTTCCAGCTCTTATTGCAATCACATGTTCAGAGAGTAAGTGATCGTGCTGCTCATTTGGGGTATCTAACAGGATAAAGACCAAATCGAATCTGGATAGTAGGGCACTCCCCATTCTAGGAAGTATGAAAGAAAGAAGAAACAATGATTGGAATCAAAACAAGTAGAAAATCTAGATTACTATTTACTCACTTGTTTAGTGCCCAAGTTCCATGTAGAACTTAAATCAAGCTTTAGGTTAAAGACATCAGCAAATAGTTTTTTGGATTCAACATATCTATTACAACCTTCAGTATAAGCATGAGACAAAGATGACCCTAACCTTGGTAGGCTGAGGATACATTTCCCCTTTCCATACCCTTAAAACCACTTCTCCTTTATGTTCTATTATTACTAACTGGCAATGTTATATTTTCTATCAGAGGCTGTATTTAATTGAGTCTTAAGCTTTTATATCTTTTTTCTAACCAAAACATTGAGATTCTCAAAGTACTTGTCTCATTCAGAAGCAAAAACCTACTTTTTCTTCAAAGTCTATTAGTCATTAGAAAGAAAATGCAAAATGTTCTATTTAGTCATCTTCTCTGAACCCATCAATCCAGGTAACTTCAGCTTAATTCACAATAGCTAAACTGTGGAAGCAACCTAGATGCCCTTCAATAGATGAATGGATAAAGAAACTGTGGTATATATACACAATGGAATATAATTCAGCATTAAAAGAGAATAAAATCATGGCATTTGCAGGTAAATGGATGGAGTTGGAGAATATCATGCTAAGCGAAGTAAGCCAATCCCAAAAAACCAAAGACCAAATGTTCTCTCTGATAAGTGGATGCTAATCCATAATGGATATGGGGGAGACATGGGAAAAAATGGAGGAACTTTGGTTGGGCAAAAGGGAAGGAGGGTAGAGAGGGGAGGGTGCAAGGGGGCAGGAAAGATGGTGGAACGAAATGGACATTATTACCTTAGGTACATGTATGACTGCACTTATGATGTCGCTACATTGTGTACAACCATAGAAATGTAAGTTGTGCTGCTATTGTGTACAATGAATCAAAATGCATTGTTGTCATGCATACCTAATTAAAATTAATTAATTAATTAAAGACATGAGAAATGAAATCTGGAGCGACTGAACAATGTGATGAAGGCTCCAAAACAGGTCTATGATGCCATTAAAATCAGAGTCCAAGTGTCCTATATTTTTATTCAAGAGGATCTTTCTGATTTTTATAATACTTCACTAAAGAAAAATTCCTAATAGATTGACATTTTTGGTGGTGATAGCACGGAAATGCTCCAGATCCTCAAGTATAATTGTGTTTTTAATGATGTATCAAAGACTATTTTTATATGAAGTATAAATCATTAAATATTAAGAAGTTAGCCAGGGTGATGTTACACACCTAGTAGGTCCAGTTACTGGAGAGGCTAACACAGAAGGTTCACTTGAGCCCTGAGTTCAAGACCAGCCTGGGCCACACAATGAGATCTTCATATCAAAAACATAAATAATAAAGCCAGACGCAGTGGCTCACGCTTGTAATCCCAGTGCTTGGGAGGCTGAGGCTGGAGGGTCGTGAGTTCAAAGCCAACCTCAGCAACAGTGAGTCACCAAGCAACTCAGTGAGAGACCCCGTATCTCTAAATAAAATAAGGCTGGGGATGTAGCTCAGTGGTTGAGTGCCCCTGAGTTCAATCCTAGTACCCACCCCCCAAATATAAATAAATAAAAATTTAAAAACTAGAAAATTAGCTTTCTCCCCTCACTAGATTTAAGGTTCTAATTTTTCATATGAAGTACTCTAGTCTTTTTCTCACTTTTGCAATACTTAAATCTGTTTTCCACTTTCCATATTTCATCCAAACTGTTCAAAACTAATTAGAAGAGAAAGTACACATGCTTAACATATAAACATTGTTTTTTTAAAAAGTGAGATCACAATATATTTGTAAGTATGTAACATGGTCTTCTCAATAACAAAGCATAAAAATGTTTTTCTATCAGTACATTCAAAGCCACTTTCATTCTTAAATTGCTACTCTCTACTGTGTAATTTTAATATGGTTTTAAGTATTCTGATTTTTTCCCAGTGATAAAGAGTGGTTCAATAGCCACCCTAAAGTATATCTTTATGCCTTTTTTCTGTGACCAAGACTCCCAAAAGTAAAATGGTTGAAGCAAATGTGATTATATATTTACAACATTGTGATAAACATAGCAGGTCTTCCCTCAAAATACTAATGGTGTATGTGAGAACCCATTTCCCCACTCCTTTGCCAATAATGACTGTTGAAATTTAAAATATTTGTCCATCTGGTAGCTATCAATAGTACTACATTGTTTTTAATTTCCAATACTCAAGCACATTTTATATACTGGAACTTTTAACTTCTGTGAACTATCCATTTATATCCTATTATCTTTTTATTGGTTTATAAGGGTTCATGATCTTAAAGTCATAAATATTTGAGTTTGAAAAGACTTACTTCAAATTCTCAGAAACTGTTTTGGCTTTATTGTAGTGTCCCCCAACTGGATTTGCAGCAGCAATAATGGAAGTTCTTGCAGGAAGGCTACAAACCACACCAGCCTTAGCAAGGCTAATACTTTGCTGTTCCATGGCTTCTAACAAGGCTTGATGTTGGTTCCCCATCTTATCAAATTCATCTATTCCACAAATGCCTATAATCACAGTAGAATAATATGGACAAAAAATATTTTTCTTTGGTCAAGTTCCAAATTTTGTAAGATAGATTATTCTACAATAAATAATTATTTCAATTTGTTCCTAGTTAAAATTTAAAAAAAGGTCCTACAATGGAAAATTACTGTTTGCTTTATATTTGTTTTGTTTAACTAAGTTTTATGTAATATTTATTTATTCACCACTTTTCCATAGCATTATGTTGTGAGAGTTGCAAAAATGAAGATATAAGCATACTCAAAATGCTTATGGACTTAATTAAAAAATACTTTAAAAATCCTATGAGATATGCATAATTATGTAAGATGAGTTTTCTGGAGTGGGGAGTGGTTAAAAGGAGATCTTGCAGGGATAGTGGGACAGCATAATTTGAGAGGAAGAGTATGGGCCCTATAGAACAGAAAATCTAGGGACAGCTGTCAACAATACCAGGTTCTAATCATACACTTGCAGGGAATCACTTAACCAACTTAAATCTAAAACAAAGCACCACCACTGACTGAAGGCATTTTATGTGCTAGGGCAAGAATGTTATATAATCCATAAGTTAATGAAAACCTCCTAATATCACATTGTAATATCTTCTTCCCACTTCCCCAGATCAGTTAAATTAGCTGTTAAGGGGTCATATCTGAAGGACTTTGCTGTGTGTTAACCTCATGTATATCTACTCTATATCCAGGTAAACTTTATTAGCTAGCTCAGAGGTGCTATGAGAAATAACTGCTGATTAGTCTTCTGTATAAATTTCAAGATTCCATGATCCACTTCTGGTTCCATTTACTGGGTTCTCTAATTCATGGAGTTAAGTATCTTTTATGTCAAATGTCCTTCATTTTTGTCTCTATAATTGCCCCTCTAATTATTTTAAACTTTGTTCTTTTCTTTTGCATTTGCTGAGATTATCTTAAACCTTCCTCTGTACCTTTAATTTCTCCTTTGGCAGGATTAGTGCTATATGCTGCTTTAGTAATTATATTGCTAGTCATCAACTTGCTATCTATAGTGTCCTTACCACATCCTCCACTTGTTTTATTTCATTAAATTCATGTACTTATTAAATGTTTGAAAAATTCAGGGTGAATTTTCATTGGTTCCTTCAATTACAATTTTATCTAGACTGGGCACTTTTTTGACCCATTTTTTTTCCTCTTTATCTACAATTTGCAGACTAGGGTGTTAACCCTACCTTTCAGTATCCCAAACATTTGGGAGAGGAAGCAAGGGGGCTTTGTTGGACTTTGGGCCACCTTTCTTACTCATCTCTCTTTTGAAAAGGTTCACCCCTCACTGTTGAGACTGTGTCCATGTTCACTACAGAAGATCCCTGTACATTAGCTTGTCTCAGCTATTTAGTAAAGCACTCTGAATGATAGTGAGCCTTCCCTATGATTTTTCCCTGGTCTTGGCAGTAGGGTATGTGAAGGCTTTATCTCAAATTTTCCATGTGTTGCCTATTACTCTGTCTGCCCACACCTCTCTGGAATCAATGGTGTTATTAGAAATTCTCAAAATGACTAGTACTTTTCCTCAGAGGTAGGGATGGGATAGGAACAAAATCAAGGCTACTTCCTCTCTGGCTGCTACTTTGCAGAGTGTAAAGTAGGAGACAACAAACTTTTAATATAAAGGAACAGTTGTATATATTCCAGTTTTGCAGGCCACTACAGTCTTGTACATTCTTGGGTTTGTTCTTTACAACCCTTTAAAAACATAAAAACCAGTTTTAGCTTGTGTACTGTATTAGAACAGATTACAGGCTGAGCTTGATTTATAGACTGAAATTTGCTGACCCCTGATTTTAAAGCATTAAACTCATTTTCCTGTTCAAATATAAATGTTAAATTATGCAATTTAACATTTTTTTGTCATTTCATTAGATGCTGAAGAAGGGAAGTATTACACAGCTTTATTACTTGTTTTATCCCCTGAAAGTCTTCAGTAAAGATTTTAGTAGGATCCTGTGTTTGTTTCTAGAACCCAATCTTTGCTGACCTTTCCTTTGTATTTGTAAAATTTCTTTAACAGTGCTATGTTCACCATCCTAGCGCTAACTTATCTACTTATATTTGGTAGAGATGACACTGGTTCTTCACATTCTGCATTTTAAATTCCAAATTCCATTAACTGTCTATACAGCTAAACCTCCAAATCACCTTCAACTTCTAAATGAGAAGTTTTATGGTTTAACAAAAAGTATTCTTTTCATGTACTTATTTCCTTCACCTGGTATCTCAGCAAAAATACTCTCACTTCTGATATGCTATATTATAATTTTGAGTTTATTAACTCAATAAATATTGAATAACTTCTACATACCAGTACTATATTCTAGGCATGCAAGATATACTACTAAAAAGACAATATTCCCTACCCTTGTGAAGCTTACATTATTCTCAGTTGACAGGAGGCAGACAATTAAAAATGTAAATCATATGGGAAATGGTAGGTACTATGGAAATAAAAAGTAGTGTAAAGAAAAAAAGTAGTTGCTAAGGCAGCAACAGTGTGAAGGATGATGCTATGACTACTTAAAATATGTTTAGAAAGACTTGCTGGGGCAGAATGCTTGAGCAAAAACATGAGGTAGGAAAGGAACAATGCTTGCAGACAAACGTGGGATTCCTGGGATTAATAACAAGGGCCCTGATGCAGGAATATGATACACCTGGAATTCTGATGATGTTCAAGGTACAGCAAGGAGGCCAGTATAGCTAGAGAAGAGGACAAGCAGTAAGTAATGAGGTAGAAGAGGTGATGAATGGCCAGAATGTGAATGGCCCTTGACTACCCTCATGACTTTGGCTTTCACTCTGATTAAGATAAGCAGCTGAGCAAAAGAATAACATAAATCAAGGTTTTATGAGATTACTTCATTAAAAACAATAGAAAGAGGTAAAGTCATTAAAGGTAAGAATCCAAGTGAGAGATGATGATGTCACAGACCAGGGTAGGAGCAATGAAGAAGTAGATACTGGATAGATTTTAAATGTAAAGGAAGATTTACTAAGAAGTTAGGTGTGTGTATGAAAAACAAGTCAAGGATGCCTCCATGTTTCCTGATTTAAGCAAATAGAACTATGAAATTATTTACTGATGAGGAATAGGCTTAAAAGGCAAGATGAGGATTTTGGCTTTAGACATGTTACATTTGAGAAATTGATGGAGATACTATATAGATAAGAATATGTGCTTGGTGTTCAAAGGAGAAAAGATTATAAATTTTGGAATTTTTAGCAGACAAGTAGGTAAACAAAGCCATGAAACTAAGTTCAAGACCTCCAATAAAGTAAGTATAGACCTGGAAGACAAAAGGTTCAAGAACTAAGTACCTAAAGTACCTACTAGTTAAGAGGCTGAGGAGATGAAGATGCACTAAAGACTGAGAAGGAATAGCAAGTGAAGTAAGAAGAAACCTAGCAAAGTATGGTGGCCTGACATCCGAGTTTCAAGTGTTTCAAAAGGGAGGAGTGATCCGCTGTGTCAAATGTGGATGACAATACTGGACTTAGAAATAATGAGATCACTGGCAAGCTCAAAGAATATTCTCCATTGGCCTGGAATCTGGACACTTCCTGACACATGCATAAGGAACATGTTTTAAGGCTCCTTAAGTACTAACATCTAATGTGAGGATCCATTCTTGCTGAGTCCTACTTATCACTCAAACCCTGGAAAAACCCTAATGAGATGGGTTGAAATATAGGAAAACTAAAATTCTAAAGTGACAGCTCTAAACTTATATGGCAAGTCTCTTTTTAGTATAGGATGACATCCACTTTCTTTTGAGTTCAAGGTAACCATACTATTTTGAACTAAGTAACATTAATACATTCAATATGTATTAAATGAGCACCTAAATACTAGTCAGTGTGAATAGTCAATCAACAAAATATCTAAATCCTACTCTATAGAGAGCTTACAAGCTCCAAAACTTAATTTTTATACGTAATTGTATATGCTAAGAGATTCTGAAAATAAAGGACTTAAGTTCCAGTTTTAATTCTATAGTCTAAATAAACATTATAAGTACCATATTTTCAATTATGAATTCTGACATTCACTGGCAACTCACTGGTTAAGCAATGCTATCCAAATGTCTCTTGGACCAAATGTAATGCCTCTTGGAAAAAAAAAAAAAAAAAAAGAACAAAAACGCAGAATTAGTGGGAAGGGAAGGGGGAGGGGAATAGTAAAGAGTAGAATGAATCAGACATAATTTTCCTATGTTCATATATGAATACACAACCAGTTTAACTCCATAACATGTACAACCACAAAAACAAAGTTATACTCCATGTATGTATAATATGTCAAAATATGCTCTACTAGCAAGTATATCTAAAAACAACAACAACAACAAAGAATTATTGACTAATATCCCTGTTATCTCTCACCTTGATCACCAAGTACCAGAGCCCCAGCTTCCAAAGCAAAATCACCAGAGGAACTATCTTTTGAAAGAGTTACAGTTAGACCAGAGCTAGTCGTAGTGTTACCACAGACATACACACCACGTGGAGCAACGTTGCATACTGCCTACAAAACAAAACATATAAAAGAATCACTCAGAGTAAAAGAGAAATGATAGCAAATACTTAATTGCTCACAAATATTAGCTACATGCTCAGAATTCTCTTAGGAGCTTTACTATACAACCTTCACCACTATGAAGGGAAAAGTATTCTTATTTACTGATGTAGAAAGTAAAGCTTATAGTGAGTGAGAATGAAGTGAGCTATGAAGGTGGGAAGCCAGGATTCCATCAGATCCAGGCAATCTAACCCTAGAGTTTGTGGTCATGTCAATGTTTAACACAATTCCATTTTATGCTCATTTTTCAAGTACAAACAGCAAATCCTGAATACCAATTTTAATTTTAAAAGCTCAATAATGCTTTAAAGATCAGGTAATAAAATTGTTCAATATGTATTTACCTTCTAAGCAGATAAGTTATGATAGGTCAGAAAAGTAAATAGTACTGAATTAAAAGCACCAATCTCTGAAGTCAGGCAGACCCATTAAAATCCCGGATCTACCATATACCAGCTATGTAGCTCTTGGATCTCACCAAACCTCAACTTATGAAATAGTGTATGCAAGGCACTTAACCTGGTACAAGTACATCATAGGCGCACAACTCAAAGCCATGGTATGTGGATATGCACTGCCTGACTCCAGGAGATAGCATTTGCATTATTTTGTTTTTTCCCCTGCATTATAGTTGTATATACTATTGGGATCACATTGTCATCTTTGTCAGTGGTACACTCTAGACTTGTACAGGGCACACCCCAAAAGACCCTATGACACTGGCTCAAAAACAGTTATCATTTTTTTGTTACTTGCAATTCCGTATTTTTTAGTCTTTTTGAAAAACCTATGATACCTCTTTTTTAAAAAAATATTTTTTAGTTGTCAATGAATCTTTTATTTTATTTACTTATATGCGGTGCTGAGGATCAAACCCAGAGCCTCACACATGCCAGGAAAGTGCTCTACCACTGAGCCACAACTCTAGCCCTTTACAATACTCTTGAGAGTGAGACAGTTTACTAAACAGAGGAAAACAAGTTTTAAGAGGTAAACAGCTCTTAACTGCATTAGCCTAATTTTTAAAAACCTGGCTTAGTGGGGCTTATATGCAATACCCTCCTTTTTTTACAATGTTTAATTTCCATTAATATTACAGCTTCTATTTTAAAATTAAGTCAAGAGTCACAAAAGCATTTATTCTGGTTCTAAGTATCAAGAAAAGTGCTAATGCCAACACTGCTTTAACACTTGTTGGTACTAAAACACACAAGTACAAAAGAAAAGAAAGCTGTAACAATGTAAATCTCCACATATACCTTCTCCTGCATATTTTGGTGAAATATTCTGCTTTCATTTTTATTATGAACTTTGTTTCACCTACAACTATGTATTGTGCCTCCATTGTCATGCTGTGGCAAGGGCTCAAAATAGATTTTTTTTTTTTAAGTAGGCTTAGCTCATCAAAAGGAATCAAACACGGATGCAATACTTAAATGGAATTAAAATAAAGACTGGTTTAATATTCAAGCACAGGGAATAAAGAATGACTCACACCTGAGGGACACTGGAGTTGCAATGGCAAGATCCAAGCAGTTCTCAATCCTGGCTGCATATCAGAATCACTATGTGGGATTACACATGAACAGATACTGGGACTCTAACTTGGAGACTCTTAATTCAATTGGCTTGGGCTGGCCACAGTATTTTCAAAGAGCTCCAAAGGTGATTCTTAGGGAAAGTCAGGGTTCCCAAAGATTCAGGAACTACAGGACTACAACTCACAGGGAGCCCTTGGCCTGGCCACATTTTCCCCACTAGGCAGGGAAGAAAAGAGTCAAGGGCATTCTGAATTAAACCAATATGTATGGCTGGCTTACCAGGCACCACTCTGAGGAAACCACAAGCACTCCAACAAACAGCATCTATTAGAACCATCACAAACCCAGGAGGGAAAAAACACTGGACAAAATCTTCTTGGTGACCAACAATTAACTGATCAAAGAAGTTGCTTTGGGCTGGGGATGTGGCTCAAGTGGTAACGCACTCGCCTGGCATGCATGAGGCACTGGGTTTGATTCTCGGCACCACGTAAAAATAAAATAAAGATATTATGTCCACCTAAAACTGAAAAATAAATGTTAAAAAAAAAAAAAAGAAGTTGCTTTGCTTTATATTCGGGAGAAACATGGAGAAGTATAAAGACAGATCCCTTGCCTCTATCAAGATTGTTCTTAAAGCCCAATACAATGTTTATGTGCTTGTATGGAGACAGAATGGGAGACTCTGTTTTACCTCCTTAACTAGCCTGTTTATATAAGAGGTCATATCACAATAATAAAGAACAGTTAACATTTCATTTCATTTCTTTATAGTTGAAGTATCAGACCAGAATGCTTGTGCAGCCTGTATGTCAGGAGACTGATTCAATTTGAAAATAGGGTCAGATACAAGTTATATGTTATTCAAACTCCAGCTTACTTCTGCCACCAAACAAAGCAGATCCTCTAAAACACAAACATTCTATGCTTTGAGAAAATTCACTTGTCAATAACTCATACATTTTTATAAGCAAAAGGTCGAACACTAAAAGGACTGATTTTTTTTACCTGTAGCATCTGACTCTTTCCCAAGCCTGGATCTCCAACAACAAGGACGTGTGGGTCTCCTCGAATTGGTATTCTGTTTTTGTCATCTGCATATTTCTGGGTACCTCCAAAGAGTGCTAATGCCAACGCTGCTTTAACGAGCTAAGGTGTAAAAGAGATAAATAAATAAATAAATACCAGGGGGGGAAAAAAAACAACCACAAAGATGACTAGCAAAAGGAGTATTCTTCAACACTGATATTTGAGGATTTTTTAAAAGCATAATTGAAATTTAACTTTTTTTATAATAAAAATCTAGAAATGAACTATAACAAATGCTTAAAAAGTAAAAGCTTGAATGCATTAAAACAAGAAATGTATCTTACAAACTGCTAAGTAAAGGCCTAATTTGCAAGACATAAATCCATTCCATAAAAGTGAGAAATATTTATGGTCCCTACTTTAACTTAGTCACTTTTTTAAAAAACTCATTCCTATGAAATAAATGTACTTGATAAGCAGCTTTTTCTTACAAGGGGCTATAGTCTGCCTCCCATATCATTAATTCATGGAGAATAAAGATTCATGTTAAAATGAGTAGCTATTTTTTAACAGAGTAGCTTTTTTTTTATAAAGTATTATTTTGTTGACTTTATATGTTTTTTAAGTGAAGACGAAGTAAAATACTTACTTCATGACCAAAAATCACAGGGCAAAGTGAGCTGGAAAACAGAATACAACTTATAAATTCTACTCACAATTCTTAATCCAGTTGATATATTTTAGAGTTATTTGATTAACTTGTTTTATTTAGAACCAAAAAAGACAAGTATAAAAAAATTTACATCTCCTCAAAAGTAAATTTCTAACAGTTCTTAATATTTAAAAGGAAGAATACCTTAAAAAGTATGCTTGTGGAAGAGAGACTTGATATTTGGAAAACACTGTAAAGTAACCAAATATGCTATTGATTTTCTGACAGAACTAGACTTTAAAATGTTCCATACTTAAGATCTTCCACTTTAGACCCATCATCACATGTACTTTATATGAAGAGGCATCTTTAGACCTATATACCCAAGTCAATGAAAGAAGGAGACGAAGGAGTGAGCTCAGTACAAAATATGTTAAGATGGGATAAAATTTCATTTTTAGTTCAATTCTGAAAGGGTCAGATTAAATAAGAGTCTGAATATAAAGAAGTGTATTTACATTTGCCCATTTTATAAACAAGGAACAAACAAAAATGGACAGGGTGATAGAAGAATACAATCAGGAGTAAAATGAAACTCTTTATCCCCTTTAATATGTGTAAGCACAGAAGAAGTTGGTGCCCTGGTCATAATCCTATTGGTACTCACTATTGTGCATGTCTTTGCCTGATTACTGCTGGTGTCCTACCAAGCACCTATACCTGTATTCGAAAGGGCTTTCTATGGCCACAAAAGCATCATCACGCAGGATAGGCAGGCCAGAAGTGCTGGTGTGTTTCATATCCTAGGAGGATCCTCAAACTAGGGCCTTAGGGGGGGAAAAAAATCGAGGCTACTTTTATATAGTGTTCCAGAAGCCTCAGGAGGATTATGTCCTGGATGCCAGTGGTAATGTGTTCATTAAAGCACCATATCTTTCTCTGTATTACTTCTGTCTTCCTATATCAGTATTTCCAGGACCACCTCCCAAATAAATGATGTTTAACCAAATCATTCCTTCCAAAGGAATCTAAATACAGCTTTTCACTGTCTTCTCCCTACTCCTTTCATGGTCCTCCATTTGTTATCTAGTATGGGTCAATAAATTTTTTCTTAAAGGGTTAGCAAGTAAATATTTTCAACTTTGTAGGCTACCCTGTCTCAGTCATAACTACTCAATGTGTAGAGTGAAAGCAACAACTGACAATATGTGAATGAACTGGGTGGGCCTATGTTCCACTAAAACTTTATTTACAAAAATAGGCAACTGGCCTAGTTTGTCAATCTGCTAGATTAATAAATGTAGGACCATGAAAAATTCTAGTTCTGATGCTGAAATCACAAACATGGGAGATAAAAACAAACTCTGGGAAGAAAACCCAAGTTTTCACACAACTTATCTTCTATGAGCATGACAGAAGGATCATTGAAAATATTCAGTTTTCATTTATGACCAATAAGAAGAATCAAACAGGTGTTTGGATTCTCCTTGCGTGCCTGCTCACTCCCAACCCTAGGTTAGAGCATCCTCTCTCTCATGGTAGGTCTGGACCATTATTTAGATGGAAGTCTCTGAGGATTTAAGAATAAATAACCCCTAAGTGCAGAAAGAAAAAGCATCAAATTCTCCTAGAGCCCAAAGTATAGGTGAAAAGGAAAGCAAGACAAGTACAATTTTTCTGATAAAATCCATTTTGAAATTTTCTCAGTTCTTTACCTCTCTTAGGTACATCTATTATTCAGTCTCTTGTTTTGCCCCTATTTCCTCAAAAAATTGTCATAGAAGTATCAAAAACAAGGCTAAGAATGTACCTCAGTGGTAGGGCCCTTGCCTAGTATGCAAGAGACCCTGGGTTTGATCCCAATTGATGTGTGTATAGGGGACTACCAAAAAAAAAGAGCATGCGCTGTTAAGCATGTTACAAAATCTGATTTAAACCTTCAGAACAACCTTTTGTTGTAGACTTCTTAAGATAGTAAATATTCCTTATTACTTAAACTTGAGATCAGAAATTCTTTTTCTGTAAAAAGTCAATGGCAACCTTATAAGCTAAATATATATTTTCTTAAACGAGCTGAGTTGTCACATGTACTCAACTCTGCCTGTAGCACAATTGTAGCACAAAAGCAGCCAAAGACACGATGTAAATGACTGAGTGTGGCTGTGTTCCAGTAAAACTTGATTTATGTACACTGAAATCTGAATGTCACATAATCTCGTGTCATAAAATATTCCTTTCTTTTCAACCATTAAAAAATATAAAAACCATTCTTAGTTAATGGGCTATGCCCAAATGAGTAATGCACTGGGATTTTGTCTATGGACTCTAGTTTGCTGACCATTTTGACTAGCTGTTTTTAATGTGTAACCAAAGAATTCCCGTAACTTGCATATATGTAAAAAAAATTTCAGATACCCTCATACATACTTGACAATAAGTTTAAACAGGTTCTCTTCAGCTTGAATCTCTTGGATAGCATAAAGATCCTTAAGTGAGAACTCCATCAATGTTCCATGCTTACAGCCATCCTCAGAAGTCTTTGTTTTCTGTCCTTTGCTATTGCTAACAGAATTTGCTTCAATGTACAAAAGGAACATACATTTATCATTCTTGTTTCGAGAACCTGTAAATTCAAAATATTAAATATAACAATTGGCATTCATTTGCCCTACAATGACTTAATTAAAATGTTAAAGTCACAGAGAGCTATAAGTAAACATTTATTGTGGGAAACCGTTCTAGCACGTGATTTGAGCTACCTCCCTGGCTGGGTGTGAGGCGCTTAGACAAGCTGTGTCAGAGCCTTCCCCACACTTCCCCAGGGGCGATGGCTTGTGGGGGTGTGACTGACCACTGACCTGAAAACCAATCACTGACCCTGACCTTGGAATGCTGCCCCCTTCGACCTTCATTGGATGGAATTTTCCCCTGAATTTTTTGTTCCCCAATAAAAGCTCACTCCCTGGCTTGCTTCTCTCTCTCTTGCTGGCCTCTTGTGTAAACCTCGCTACCGCATCAGGGGCTAGAGGCAGGAGCTGGGAGGAGGCAGGAGCTGGGAGGAGCCGTCTCTGAGCTGGGCAAGAAAAAGGTAAATTGTCTTTAATTTGAACTCACTAGTTAATTTCTGTTTCGAACCTCTAGTATGAAGCTAGCGTACTGGTCGTGTGGCTAAATTTATTTTAAAGGAAGTTTCATTTATTTAAGCAACAAGGAATTTACTAAATTGTTTGAGATTTAGAAGTATGAAGAGAAAAGATGAATACTGACAAATCATTTTTGAGAGAATATTAAAGAAAAGAAAGAGCCACCCCATACCTTCTTCAGCATTTGATACTTTGACAATTCCAGTAACAGTCACTGTGTCTCCCGGTACACAGCTATCCACCAGGTCGTGCACAAGTTCACATTCTATTGTTCGTGGAATTCGACCTGCTTCTCTCTGAGCATCGGACATAAGCTCCTGAATTCTAAAAAGGTGAAAAGTTTTCAGTTAGAATACATACTTACATTGGGTTCTTTAGCATATTAACTATTCCAGACTCACACAGTACTTAGCTAAAGGGCAAATTAGTTTAAATAAGATCAACAACATATCTAAAATTGTTTCAAGAGTTTCTAATTCAGGATGGCATAATGAACATGCGCATTTGCCTAGCCTTCCTCTGAGGAGCAATCAAAATAAAAAGATACTGAAAAAGCAAAAAGTTGTTTTGGGGCATGCAGTAAATAGAATGTTAGTAAAATTTTTGAAAACAGCAAGTAGGAAAGTACTAAAGGATAAAACAAACAAAATCCAGAATGCATGCAGACAAAAATTATAAGGATACAAGAGAAGTGGCACTCAATGTTCTCAGCAGAACCCTAGAAGAGGTCCCAAATTGAAGATGGCAGGAATGGAGAACAGGAAGAAACAGGATTATCAATTAAAAGATAATAGCTATTCAGAATTTTTTTGGAAGGCGGGTAGACAGCCACGTAGGGAAAGAATGAGGACTTAAGCATCTGGCAAAAACTAGAGCATAGTTCTACAGAAATGGATCTCTTCCCTATATATGGAAAGTTAGTGTCCAGTGAAGCAATCAAAGCTCCAGAATAAAGCCTTCTCATTTGGCATTTGAGAAGCTGAAACCAATTCAAAAACACATAAGTCAAAATTCCTACTTTCTTATTCAGGAATGAGGCCTCATGAGAAAAGACTTCTGCCTACAAAATAGCAAAGGAAACTTATCCTACTCAAAATAATTCTTCTTTTTTTCATCATATATTTAAGAATAAAATGGCAGTAATTCAAGGAGAAGAATATTAAAAACAAAAAACAGCTAAGAGTTTTGAGAAAATGTTGCTGTTGTAAAACAAAAATAAGCTGCTATAAAAAGGAATTATGAAAAAAGTAAAATTAGGAAAATTAAAAATATGTATATAAAAGTTAAACTATAGAAAACAAGAAAAAGCCAAAGAAATTTAGAGAACAGCATAAAGAAAATGGAAGCATGAACCAAAAGTTAAGACAAATGAACAATCAAAGGGATGCATCCCATAGGAAACCCAAAAAGAGAAGAAAAAAGACACTATATGGTTGAAGATGACTGCAGGACAAAAGGACCCTTCGGCTTAGGAGGATGAAGACATGACTAGATAAACCTATTTCAGAACTAGATAAACTGTTGCAGAACCTTTAAAGAGATTACAAAGGAAGGAAAGTCCAATCCCCTCAAAGGAATAAGAATCAAACCTCTCATCGACAGCAGGGGAAATGATGACAAAACAGACTACTTTGGTAGTCAGGCAAACTCTTACACAAGCTAGGATCCAGAGATATTTCCAGACATGCAACGACCCAGAACTTTTTACCAGCTATGCACACTTTCTAAAAATTTACTTAATAATTTCTCCAGAAAAATAATATTTAGAATTATTAAAAGTAGAAGACAAAGTCCAAGTTGGGAGGCCTAATTTCAATTGTGCAATGAAGAAAATCCCAGGATGAAGTAGGACTGCAGGTCTAAAGAACATGAGATCCAGACTCAAGTAGAACTCAGGAAGGTACATTTTTAAAATTTTCATTTTATTAAAAAATAAAAGGTGAACTCCATGCATTCAATAATATATTTAAGAAAGAATGTATGGTTTGGATATGGTATATCCCCCAAGGATTCAAGAATTCAGAGACTGAGCCTAGAGATGGGGCCTACCCTTTTGGCTCTGATTTCCACGTTTGCCATGCAATCTCTTCTTGGGAGACTATTATAATTAGAAAACAGAAAATAAACTTTGACGATTTAATGTAACATCAGAATGTCTAGAAGTAGAAGTCATAAAAGTTAGTATAGCATCTCTAATGTTATCTACTCACCAAAAGTGGATGCAATAAAGCCAAGGAAGAGAGAGACCAAGAATATTATTCAAAGTTGTATAGAACTGCCCTTTATAATAATTGGATTTAAAAAGAAAATTTATATGTATAACATTTTTATTTAAATAGTTAATGTAAGTATAATCACAACATTAAAATATTAACTTTGGAATACATTCTCCCTATTTTCTTCAGAGAATGGCCAGACACCATCCATCTAATCTTCATAACTTCAAACCTGGCTCCATGGTTAGCTTCGTTCACCCTAATTGTACATTCAAAACTAGTAGAGTAAGTGCTGGGGAGTAGCATTGGCCAAATTATATTGTTATATGTAACAAATGCTTCATTATGTATAACTTTCTTGCACCAATAGAAAATGTGTGTCTGTGGGGGGAGAACTAGCAAAGTAAAATAAGAAGTCTCAGAATAACACATGTTCAGATCACTTTGCCATAAATAAATGTTTATAGCTATTTCTTATTAAAATAGCATATATTTACATATATCTCCTTTGGAAAAATTGTAAAACATAAGTAAACAGAAGGAATAAAATGCCTCTGCCTCCTTTGGTGGAGGCAGGACACAATCCTATGCAAGAGTCTTAAACACTTCCTCTTTTATAAAATCAGTTATTTATAAAGATCTCTGAATAAATAATACATATATATATGCTATACATTAGGGTCTTGGTTTTTACAGGGAATAATGGGGAGAAGCTAGGACAGGGCTTAGTAGCAAGCCACCTCATCTTTTTCCTAGGTTCTATTTTTTAGGACCATCTCCTATTTCAGCCAGGTTTCCTAAAGAACATTCTAGGCTTCAAAACTATCCATTATTTTATATTTAGGGATGAGTTATGGGCCTGTGGCTAGGGAAAAAAATGGGACAATTGTTGGATGAAAAATATAAACAGAAACAACTAATAGATTTGTGTGGATAGTGGGGGGAGCCTATAGGAACATAATATAAAATTCCTAGTGGGCAATGAGAACATGAAATCAAATAGGACCACCTCTAAGAGATTTTCTGAAAACTTCAATACTATTTCTATCACAACTTATTATGCAATGAATCATATATCTTTGTTCAATGAATCACATAATTGAAATATAAAATGAACTATTTATCAGTAGCAATAATTCATAATGTTTACATCCTTTCTGGCATCCAGTAGAGAATAAATTTCAAAGACAGTTACTATTTCAACATACAAACTTGTCACTGAATAGATTTATTATACACTTATCATTTTTACAGATAAAAATTACAGTACAATACAATAAAATTATAGATTTACTCAGCAGTATCAAAGATCCTAAAATCTGCCCCTTTTTAAGTCTTGATTGCTTACTTGATTGACTGCCAGTCCATTGTTACTGTAAGAGGAGAACTACGGAGAGCAGCAAAAGACTTCCCTCGACATGCAGGCACAGGACACTGCAACAAGTAATTCACATTCAGATGTTGATAAACTACAACCATATCTCAGGAAATTTCAAGATATACTTCATTAAAGTAAACTAAGAGCTGTAATGTTCCATTTCCTACAGAAACAGTTTAATGTCATAAGCTTTCAAGGCATTTGTCCAGCTGGTCTCTCTCTTCCCCTGCTCCTATTCTTTCAGCTGTAGGTAGGCAGGCACCTTCCTCTGCCTTAGATCAGGCACTCATTCTTACCTCTGTGCCCATGTAGTCTCCTAATTCCATGGGCTCCTTGAACACTCCTCCTCCTTCAGTCTGTATGTCCAGCCCCAAAAGCCTTCCCTAGGTCTTTAATCCCCAACTCTTTGTCTATCTTCCTTTTGTGCTGTTCACATAGTATTTTTCACTGCACCACACAGTCCTCAAAATAAAAACAAGTTCTGTTCAAGTTTTCATAAGTCACTTGCTTGGCATTTGGACCACAAGATACAATTGTAAATTCAGACTCAGTGGCAGATTTACAAATATGATTACAATAATATATTCCCTCATGGACAAGATAAAACTATAGCAGCACATAGTAAAGTACTTCCTACAACTAGGTTGAAATAAACACAGAATACACACACATGCATGGATGTTTTTCTTCTTTCAAATGCCCATTATTAACACACATATTTTAGTTAAATCATTGAGTCAACATGGTTTATCTCTATAATTTTAGGAGCTATGGGAAGTTTTAGAACTATAGGACCACTATGTTTCTGCTGATACTTGCTGGGACTGTGGATATATGTATATAATTCCAGATTAAATAATTGAAAAATTCCGAAGTATTTGCCTCTTGGACAGAGGAATTAGGATATTGGGGAGAGGTAAACAGTGTGACTGTACTTTTGTTTTAAACTTCACAATTGCATCTAATTGGTTAAGTTATGTGTCAATAATAGAATAAAATTACTTTAAAATTAATGTCAAAAAAAATAAATAATGTATTCCCTCAAATCTTTCCAGAACCTTACTATTCTCCCATCAAGAGATAGAATCTATAGCTACTTGGGAGGCCGAGGCAGAGGATTGCAAGTTCAAGGCCGGCACGGGTAACGTAATGAGTTTCGTCTCAAAATAAAACAAAACAAAAAAAAGGGCTGAAGATGTAGCTCAGTGACAGAGCATTTGCCTAGTATGCAGAAAGCCCTGGGTTCAATTCCCAGTATTGGGGGTGGCGAGATTAGTAGTGGAGAAAACACAAAACACATATGGAGTCTTAATTCCTTCTCCTAGAATTTGGGCAAGTTGGTGACTCACTCTGTAATCAACAGAATGTTGACAAAAGTGATGCTGCATGACTCTGAAGGCTAGAATTTCTGTCTATCAACTGGACTTTCTCACCTTACAGCTATCAGCACCATATGAGCCGACCAAGCACTCTGATCTGCCAAACTCTGTGTGAAAAACAAACAGCTCATGCAGAGGCCACACAGAGAAAACAGAGATGCCTGGCCAACACAACATCTTATTGTTCCCAACTCCAGCCACAATCTACCTGATTATATCTCCAGAGACCTGGAGCCTCAACTACACAGGAGAATAGTTCTTCCAAACTCCTGACCCACAGAAATAACATGATTATTATCCTAAGCTCCTAAGTTTTAGGGAATAGCCATCTTTCTGAAATTTAATCTGATGTCATTTAAAAATTTCTAGGGCTGGGGATATAGCTCAGTTGGTAGAGTGCTTGCCTCACATGCACAACACCCTGGGTTTAATTAGTCCCTAGCACCACAAAAATAAATAAGTAAAAATGTGTACACACACACACACACACACACACACACCTGGAACTGAAAATATAAACTCTGGGTAGTGGGTAGAAAAATATCTATTTCTGTATTTCTTGTATCCTGAAGTATTTAATAATTAAATAAAAATCTCTGTGTTCACAAACACTGGGAAATAGTATCTGTAAACTGATTTGCCTTTATTACCAAGATAAATAAAGAAACAATTATAAAAATATATCACCTTTGTTGGAAGATTGTATTTTCCATCTGGAAGAGGGAAACTTTGAACCTCTCCACATGCAGCACACAGAAAAGCCATCTTGGTGCAAAGAGGCTTTACATTACTGACACGAACCACTGTCCCTCTTAGAGAAATGTATTTTCCATAGTAATTTGCTCGGACATTCTTGAGATGTGTCAAGGGCTCAAAGTTGTATATCCTAAATATAAAACAGGAACATATATATAATGAACAGAAAATTGATGTCTGTATTTTCACAAGTTCTTTTTAGTAACAACTATGGAATTCCCAAACAATATCACCATTTATATATCAGAAATCTCCCAAGAATTAAATTATTTTTAAAAATAAAAATGTTGCCAGGCGAAGTGGCACACACCTCTAATCCCAGCAGCTTAGGAGGCTGAGGAAGGAGGATCACAAGTTCAAAGGCAGCCTTAGCAAAAACGAGGCACTAAGCAACTCATTCAGACCCCATCTTTAAATAAAATATAAAATAGGGCTAGGGATGTGGCCTCAGTAGTCAAGTGTCCCTGAGTTCAATTCCTCCTCCCCCCAAAACAATGTCTTCACTTTTCTTATTCCAATAGGCTGTTGTCTATAGGGAAAAAAAAATTAAAGACAAAAGCAAAAATATAATGCATATAGGAAAACCTATATATTCAACAATCTTTGGATTTCTAACTTATTTTTAAACACCTGCTTCTTAGCATACCTTCAATAAATTTGGAAAATAAAAATAAAATCCTGATGATTTCCTTATTTATTCCTATATATCTCAATGAATTTAAAATGTAGAATTCAATAAAGATGAATTCAAGAATTCATTTATTCCCTGTGTCTAGTAGAAACATGACAATTTAACAATACACATACATACCACTTAGCATATTATGTGGATTATTAAATTTGTACATCAGAGTCTTGATTAAGTACATATCTAAAATCAATATTTACAGGTTGGAAAGTCAACCTATTTGGGCAGAAAATGTTGATTTCTGTCATGATCATTCTGAATAATTTTCAATAGGTTCACTGTGGGTATGATGATCTATGAAATTAGCAAGAACTCACACCATTTTTACTATTTCCTTGTTCGTATAAAATAAGGTTCTCATCCTTAAACAGTCATTAGGCCATATTCTAAATAACACCAGTAAGTTGCTCACCTTGCATAAATATGTGGCACATTTACCATTGTTTCCCCATCACTAGACAATCCTTCTTGGGCTTGTAATTCAGCTGCATGCCTTTCAAGGTCCTTAGTTAACACCTAAACGGAACAAACATTTACTCAAAGTTAAAAAATAAAGTATCCTCTTTAAGCAGAACTTTATATAGAGAGAATCTCAAGTTTACCAATATAAACAGTTCAGAACAAGACAGAATAAGAACAAGACTCTAATAGCCCTTGGAAAGTCTGATATTTAATTACAACTACTTATTTTATAGTAGACTGTTTTACTTGGCATTTTGCTGTCCCTGAACTGGAAATGTTCAGCATCCTTGTCTGCTACCTATTGTCCCAAATAAACTTAACATTATTAAGTCCTTATAATAGTCCCCAAAGCCATTATACCTTGATTTCTATAAAAATTTTTTTCTACTTCTCCATATTCATTGATTAATCAAGATAGAAAAAGTAATGATTTTTAAAATACCCAATACCGCAGCTACTATGAAGACAAACAATAAGTCTTGGCAAGGATGTAGGGGAAAAGGTACACTCATACACTGCTGGTGGGACTGCAAATTGTGCAGCCAATATGGAAAGCAATATGGAGATTTCTTGGAAAATTGGGAATGGAACCACCATTTGACCAAGCTATCTCTCTCCTTGGTCTATACCCAAAGGACTTAAAAACAGCATACTACAAGGATACAGCCACATCAATGTTTATAGCATCACAAGTTACAATAGCTAAATTGTGGAACCAACCTAGATGCCCTTCAATAGGGATGAACGGATAAAAAAAAATGTAGCATATATACACAATGGAATATTACTCAGCAATAAAAGAGAATAAAATCATGGCATTTGCAGGTAAATGGATAGAGTTAGAGAAGATAATGCTAAGTGAAGTTACCTAATCCCAAAAAACCAAAAGTCGAATGTTTTCTTTGATACAAGGAGGCAGATTCATAGTAGGACAGGGAGAGGGAACATGGGAGGAATAGACGAATTCTAGATAGAGCAGAGCGGTTGGAAGGGAAGGGAGGGGGCACGGGGTTATAAATGATGGTGGAATGTGATGATCATTATTATCCAAAGTACATGTATGAAGACATGAATTGGTGTGAATATACTTTGTATACAACCAGAGATATGAAAAATTGTGCTCTATATGTGTAATAAGAATTGTAATGCATTCCGTTGTCATATATATATAAAATATAAAAATAAATTTAAAAAAATAAAATACCCTATACCAGCTCTGTTGGCATTTGATACTAAATAAATATAAAATACTTGCGTGCTGACAATCTAAGAGGCAAAATTAGATGCCCATAAATAGTTATAATTGTTATAAGGACCATAAAGATTTATAGATAAAATGCCATGTGAGTTTTGAAAACGATTTTTAAGAAAGCTTTTACAAAGCGAAAAGAGGCCCACAAGAATTTGGATATGTGAGATAAAGAGAATGCGATATTGAATGGACAACATGTACAAGAGTACTTAGAGAATACTGGAAGAAGCTCGGTTTAGTTGGGTCATAGTGAATGTAAGACAGGAGAAATGAAATTTAGCCAGATCTTGGAAGGTTTTCAAAGTCATATAAAAGATTACAACTACTTATTTTACATAAAAGATTTTATATAAAACATTTTATATAAAAGATTTTGACTTCATTTAGAAGAAAAGGATGACCAGTTTTCAAGAACAAATTATATTTTACAAAAGCAATTGTTTAAGAACAACAATAAAGGCCTAGCCTGAGACAGAGGTAGTAAGGATAGAAAGGAGGTAGACTTAATAAACATTTTTTTGTTTGTTTGAACTTGCTATGTTGCCTAGGCCTGCCTCAAACTCTGGGCTCAAGCAATCTTCCTGCCTCAGTCTCCAATGTAACTGGGACTCCAGCAGCATGCCACTACACCCAGTTTAAGAGACATTTTAGAAAGAGAAATGAAAGGATATGGTTAATAAGGTGCTGAATGAGTCTGAAAACAACAGGCAAGGTTTACAATTTAGAATTTCTAGGAGTGTAGACCTTTGTGATAAACTATTCCTTGTACCTGCTCAGTGTCCAAATTCTAGCTACACTCTTAAGACCTACTATAATCTCTGAGTTTTCCCCATTCTCCCCCTACAGGTGAGGGTATTACATTTGCCTCTGACTGCAATCAGCAATACAATCTATGTCTGTCCTAAGATCTGCAACTCTTTACCTTAATGCATTTACCTGTTTGCTGGCCTGAAAAATGCTTTCATATATGTATACCATCTGACCCTGAGAAGAAACTCAGGCAAGAACAAAATAAACTGTTATTTCTATTTTACATATGAGAAATGAAGTGATCTGCTTCATGCCACAGAACCTAGATCTGAAGTTGATCTTTTGCTCCAAGTTCATAACTGCCAACATCATGATGCCTTGTCTTATCTTCCCTATGAGACTGAACAGTTCCCCCAAAATAAAGTTTAATATCTATCCCATTTTTAATGATATTAGGCTAATTCAAATACATTAGAAATAATGTTATATTTAGATAAGCTTTTATACATAGAATGAATGGTAATTTTTAAACACAAGATTGTGAACCTTCATTTCAAGCCAGTAACCACTATCTGTTAGTAAAATCTATTTTTTTTTTTAAAGGTCTTGTTTGCTAGATGCCTAGTTTGGACTCAAAACTTGCAATTCTTCTGCCTTAGCTTCCTGAGTAGCTTGATTTACAGGCATGTACCACCACACCCAGGTAATCTTATTATCTTTTAAAGAAAGTCTTGACACTGGAATCTTTCTTTAAAATTCTGATGTAAGTCAGCACAAGATAAATATTTACCTGATGTATTGCCAGACCCATGCAAGCCAAGATTTTCTCAGGTGCATCCCTTAGTTCATTTGCTATATTTGGTATCAAATTAGTTATTTCATCATCTTTTGTCAATTCTCTAAAATCCACCAAAATACTTCCTTTTCTTTCTATTTCATCCTAGAAAAGATTAAAGTTTTAAAGTAACAATTGGTCTTTTAGAGTTAATTATCATAATTGAGCATTCAATTATATACTTTGAGAAAGCATACCATGTTTATATGGTGAAAATGCTAAGTACCATATAAGCTTTACACCAAGCACAGTCCTAATGTTTTCAATATATTAACTCACTTGTACTTCTTAACAATTCTTTGAGGTAGCTATTTATACTATTACTTCCAAATGATAGACAAAGAAAACTGCGGCACAGAGAAGTTAAGTAATTCACCAAAGTCATACTGTAGGTAAGTGGCAGAGCTGGGATTTGTATGAAGGCAGTCCAACTCCAGTGCATATGATCATAATCACTAGCACCTCAAATATACTGTTCAATAAGATGACACATAAAGGTCAACAGGTAGTGTTACTGTAAGAAAATCTTACCTTATCATACAAGTCAATACGCCTTATGAAAAATTTTTCAAATGCTTGAATCTTCTCAATTAAAGGAGAGTTATCACTGTAAACTAATCCAACAAACATGGCATTAGCACTATGTTTTCATTAGATAACACTATAAACTTGACAGATTTTTTTTCTTCCAGTTGCTCTGTATTCTGATTACACTTAAACAAGAACTAGCATAAACATATACATAAGATTCTAAAACATGTTTAGGCCTGCATAATCCAAAATGCAGACAGAAAATCTCTCTAAAAAGCCCAATATCTGGGAAACCTTTAGAGGAGCCTTAGAAACCTAATTAGATATATCAGTTCAAATAGCTTACACAACAGCTAAAACCAAACATCATCGAACCCAGGGCCTTGTGCCATACAATGCAAGCACTCCACCAACTGAACTAGATCCACAGCCCCCACTTTTTTTTTAAACATCCTAAAGCTATATATTTTCAAGTACCCTCTCAAAGAAACAGGATAATGAAGTAATGCCTAAGGCATCTCTTGCACTTTATTTTTAAGATCAGTCCCAAAGTCTCTTATAGTGTTCTGAGGTTAACCACTAAGGGAATAATTGAAGTGTTGGTGACTAATGTATCCTGAAGCAACAAGACAATCTATGAAACACATGTGTCTATTTAATAGGGGGAAAAAAAAGACTGCCAATAAGGAAAATATTTGTAAAGCATCATTCATAAAATAAATCGTGGGCGTCTGGTATGAGGCAGGGTCCTTGACTTCAAGCAGTGTAACACAGACATACACACACACACACATATATATAAAACAAAACCCATATCTTATAAGAGAGATAACAAACACATAGATGTTATAAGAGCACAGAAAAGATAGCCCCCCATATCCATACACATAGATGTATGACAAAGATTGGTATTCAGAGATATTTCTTAACTGGTTTCTATGGAAATCTGTGTTGGTTACTTGCTCCTGGTTCCAGGTCTATCGTCTGTTTTCTGCTCTGATCAAGATCTGCACCCTACCTCCCAGATTCCTTTTAGGTTCTGCCAATTAGAGGCACTTCAAAAAACTGGAAGAAAGCAGGAAGTGGGAAAGGAATTTCTTCTTGTCTCCAATTCTTTTCAATATGTCTACAGCTGCAGAGGATAACTACAGTTCTAGCCTCCAGGTCCAAGCAACAACTAAGTCATGCCCCCTGAGTTACCAGTGACAACCAGTTTCATTTATATCAGTGATCTGAGCACAGTGCTACAGTGTAGCCCTCAGGGGCCTAAGTACAGCTTTATAGGGTACCCTTTAGAGGCCAAACAGCTATGCCTCTACCCTTGAATTCCTAGGTTCTGATAATCTCAGTATTTCTTAACTTCTGCTAAAGTTAAGAATGGCTACTGTTTCCTCAAATTACTACTTTCTGGGGTTTTACTTTGATCTCCCCTTTCTGCTCTTTCAGTTTTTCATCTGAATGTCCAATTTCTTATAATAAATCTCTCTTCTGAAATACCTAGTGTATTTTACCACCTGATATAAAACCTAAAAATAACGCTCTTTAATATAAACATGATTTAATTGAAAAAACAAAGATTAGGAAGTACACAGCAGTAAGCCAAATAAATCACAGAAACATAAGATGTAACAAGGCAAGTTAAGGAAATATAACTTATGGTACTTTTTGTACTTTTAATTCTACCTTCAGAGAAATAAAGCTTCCAGCCTTTATATGGTATGAATTGATCCAATGTTGACTGTAGTAGCAAAGGCTGTGGGATTTGTTCTGGAAAACAAAACAAAAACTAAAATGCTAGGTTAATAAAAACAAAGCAAAGCTTTTTTTTTTTCTCTCCAATTTGTTTCCCCTTTCAACAATGAAATGACATTAATAGTGCACCTAAAAAAGGTTTCTGGAAGAATTGTGCACATTAATTTTCAAATACTTGCTAAGGAGTAACATCAAATAAAAGATTGAAGTTTGAGCTAAATTACTTTGTCTGATAGGGATGAACTGTTTGCTTCATAAAGGAAAAAACAACAATCATTGTCTCACATGGTCATACATACCAGAGCTATTTTTTCCAATGGCTTTATTCAGGTTAGGTCTGTGTTCTCTTCCCCTCCATTTTCCTGAAAAGTTCCCACTACCTCTTCCTCTTCTCCAGCTTTGAAATCTTCCCCGTCCAAATCCTCTGCCTCTGCACTCACCATTCATGTCTTCTAATAAATAGATATTAGAAAAGACTTCACCAAAACAGGAGGGAAAGTTGTGCTCTTAAAAATGTATTAATGTAGTACAAAACCGAAAATTTATTCTGCTTCTGAGTGAATATAGGTTTACAAAGTTGTATATACTATGGGAGAAAATTCAAACAGTCTGCAATTACTCTTCTAATTTCCACCACTCTTTAAGGTATACAGTAGATGTTTTATTAAAAACATTAAGTTCTCATGGAATAAGAATAAGGTACTATACTGTAACAGTTTTCAAGGAGCTTCCATGACAGAAATAAAGATAAGACAAGTAATTAACTCTAAGATGCCTGCTTGCTGTGTTTAAAACTTATTACAGAGCAGGAATAGTTTAACATAATTCTGAACTATGAGATACCAGGGAAACATCATCATAGCTCCAGTCCCACAGTATCATATCCATTTTCTGCACAATTTTTTCCAAAAACTAAAACTGTTCTTTAAAAAATTGTTCTACTTACAAAACTCCACATCCTACTGACACAAATAAAAATATATCTGTACATTGTAGTGCAATTCATCACAAAGACCTTTACAAATCCCTATTTAAAGAGGGCTTAGTTAGTAAATAAGTTAATAACTAAAAAGTTCACGATTCTAGGGCACGACAGGTCTCTCATCATCAACCAGACATTATATATTGAGAAACTGAAGCTCAGAGAAATTAAGGAAACGAATGAAGATCAAACTTGTTTGGTGACAGTACAGCAGACAAACTGTCTTCAGACTCCCAAGCTGAAGTGCTCCTTCAGATAACGCTATGTGCCATACCCTTCTCAGACAAGAAAATATGAGAATAGTAATAATTCCAACACAAACTTAAGAGGGCAGCTGTGCGTCGTTAAATACTTCATTTACATCTCCTCAGGCTGTTCTTACTTGCATGGAGAAAACTCAAACAGGCTCTCCCAGTTCACGACTCCGGGGTACCTGCTAATCCCAACGGCCTGATTCTCCCTCCCTCCTTAGTGGAAAGCACACGGGGCTATGAAGAACCTCCAGCTCCTCAGACGACCCTTCAGGTCTTGAGTTTTTTCAGCCGTAGCTTCTTTGACGTCCCTGCGCAGGACCGGATCCCTTCAGTCACAGCAGCTCAGGACCTTCAGTTTTTCCACTGCGACCTCGGGAAAGAACCCCAGAGAAAAGGGACCCAACATCTCAAGACACTGTCCAGTCTCCCTCTAATTCTTTTTTGGCGCTTCCGTGACGCAATTTCCGTTCCAGGAAGCGGCGAAACAAGAAGGGAAGGGCGAAGAGTAGCCAATCAAAGAGTTCGGTCAGCCGGAAGTCGTGAAGCCCCCGGAAAGAAAGGACCAGACCGGAAAGCGGAAGCGGCGCACGGCACGTGGGGGCGGTGCCGGTCGGAGGGCTCCTGATTCCGTGGTGTTGTGGGGATTGAGGCAGGCGGCCGCGGCCGTGGCGCTTGGGACTGCAGGGACGTGGCGGAACACCAAGACCGGCTGAGCGTCATGGAGGGCTCAGGGGAACACCCGAGCCCACAGCCCTCGCATCCCGGGGATAACCGCATCCACGAGGGCGACTTTGTGGTGCTGAAACGGGAAGATGTGTTGAAAGCAGTGCAGGTCCAGCGGAGAAAGTAAGTCAGGTTGCTGGCCTTGGGGTCTCCCCCCCCACCTAGATATTCCCTCCCTTCAGATCTTCCCAAAACCCCTTCCTCCAGGATCCTATTCTTAACTCACTGGATCTCCATCCCCCGCAGTCGTTGCCTCTTCTCAAATAATCCTGTCACAGTGGCCTTTTCCTCCGAGATTCTTATCCAGTCTCGACACTCAGGTTCTCCCATGTCCCTCCTACCTTCCCACAGAGTCCCCCTTCTCGACTCCATACCCGGCGGTCTACCTTCGGCATCCTTTCCAGTTTTGCCACCGAGACCCTTCCCCAGAATCCCATTATTGGTCCTTGATTGCTCAGTTTGAATGCTTCCCTCTCCACCGTCGTCGTCCCCGCTTCCCACCGCCTGGGTTTCTATCTTTAGGTTCTTAGGATCTGCTCTGTGTTCTTACAGACCCCCACTCTTTTCATGTGGGTTCTCATCCTTACTTCTCAGAGTCTCCTCCTTGCTTGCCCCCCTTTTCCTCACAGGTCTCCTTCCTTTTTATCCCTCAGCCAGGATCAGTTCAGCCCCCACCCCACCCCCCGGCCAAAAAATATGACCTCTTCTACCTAGCCTGGCTTTCTGGCTGGCCGGCCTTTTCTCTCTACCCAAACGGGAAAACCTGTCTACGTGGAATAAGGAAAGAAGACAACTTCCTGTAAAGTATGGAGTCCAATGGGGCTTGCTTCATTTTTACACCAAGGTATTCAAATTCCAGAAAAGTTGAATTGCTCAAAAGCAATTTACTCAAGGTCTCAGAATTTATGAACCTGCTACCTAATATTCTGTGTTAGTACTAGTGAAGTAGGATTTTGATAACTCTGGCAATGACAATGGTGAGGTTGTTAAATTCTAATAGCTTGGTTGTACTGAGAGTTATTTTTTGAGCTAGGTTATTATATTACTTTTTTGTTTGTTTGTTTGTTGCAATGCTGGTCATCAAACCCAGGGCTTCACACATGCTACGCAAGTGCTGTACTACTGAGCTACAACCTCAGTCTTATATCAACTCTTGACAAAGAAGTAAGGTGCAGGTTGAATGCAGTGGCAGGAGACTGCAGACCCAAAAGCTAGGCATTAAGTATTTTGAATTTCTGATAAATGCTTACTTCACATAAATTATTTTACTACTGTTTTCATCAAACTAGTATTTAAGGTGAAGCACGTATCATTAAAAATTAGTCAATGTTTATAGCAGTTCAGTTCATAATAGCTAAACTACAGAACCAACCTAGGTGTCCTTCATTCACCAGATGAATGGATAAAGAGAATGTGGTATATATTCACAATAGAATATTACTCAGCCATCAAGAATGACTTTATGACTTTTGCTGGTAAGTGGCTGGATCTGGACACTATCATGCTAAGTGAAATAAGCCAGTCCCAAAAAACCAAAGGTCAAATGTTCTCTCTGATATGAGGATGCTAATATACAACAAGTGGGTAGGAGGGAAAGAATAGAAGTTCAGTGAATTAGACAAAGGGGAATGAAGGGAAGGGAGAGAGATAGGAATAGGAAAGACAGTGGAATGAACCTGAAACAACTTTCCTGTGTTCATATATGAACACACCACTACCAATGAAACTCCATATCATGTAGAACCTCAAGAATGGTTTATTATTTAGCTTTATTCTAAAGTTATATTCCATGTATGTATAATAAGTTATAATATACTCTATTTATGTATATCTAAAAAGAACAAATTTTTAAAAGGGGAAAAAATTGTGCCTGCTTCCAAGTGCAAAATTTTTGGAGCTTTCCAATACTAATTGCTTGAACTTTTTCGTTGAAGAATAACAATTGTAAGTATATAGTTTGATGATTAAGCCCAATTTACACATCTGTATAATAACTATCCAGGTGAAGCATTTTTACTTTCTTTTTCATACTATTCTTCTAAGTGCCTTAATTTTCAAGCATAGTTGTGCTTCTAACTATGTGCTCTTTTAAACAGGAGCTTTTTCATTACCAAGGAGATAGCAGCATCTTTAATTCTAATAGGTTCTCTTTAGGCCTGATTTGGAAACACTTATTTTTGGTCTCTCTTGACAAAGCCATGATGTCTATTTTTAATTAGAAAATGACCCTCTGAGCTCAGTTGCATCCCAGGCCAGACTCCCATCATCTTTCACTCTTGGCTGCACTCATCTGGTTAGGTAGAAGTGGTTCTGCCTCTCTGAGAACGGCAAGCCCTACTCCTTCCCAGTGAAGATGGGGTGTCCACATCCTCTCTGACTACACATGCCCTTCCCGCCTGGTGTATTGGCCTGTCAAACCAATCAGTTTGAGTGACACCCCTCCCTGCCTTTGCATATCAAGTAGACTGGGGCATAACTCACCCAAGCTTAGATCCATTGGTTCATTAACACTAAAGTGTTTGAAGGATGAGGGTGGCGGATGTATATCTGAGCTGAGTTTCAACTTCTCAGGGGGTTGTGTCAACAAATATTTTGAATATCTGGTATGTGTTAGTTTTGGGGGACCCAGCGAAACAAGAATTGGCCTTGTCTGGATCACTTGGGATCATGCCGTATTTCCCTCATGTGGTCAAGTAACATATAATGAAGATGGGACACGTACACATACAAAGGTGTGGCAGGATATAAGGAACCAAAAAAAATGAAGGTGACGTACCTGGGAACTAGCAGTGGTGGGAAGCATTTGATGAGAACCCAGGTGATACAGCATGCATTGTGTTATACTCCAGGAGCTCAAAGGAAGATAAGGAGTGAAGGAGGGCACAAATAGGACAGGCACTACATCTCCCAAAATTCAGAAATTTTTGGATGTGGGCTGGGCCCTGAAGCTCAATGGTACTTCCTAAGGTTATTTGGCCTTTGCTGAGAAATATTGTGTAATATATTGGAATTAACTATTCCTTGAGGTCAGACAGACCTGAATTTGTATCCTAGCTCTAGCACCTTGTAACTCAATCTTGAACAGAACATTTTTCCCTAAGCCTCAGATTTCTCTTTTGGAGAGAGCTGTGTCCCAGGATTAGTATGAGAATTAAAAAGCATAACATAGTGCCTAATCTCTGGTTGATGTTCAGCAGCAGGTATCAGTTTTCTTCTTTTGAAAGGAAAGATTTTTGTTTTTATGGGATTTCCCCTCCTAACAGTAAGATACAAATCTGGGTAATAAGAAAATCTTTCCTGGTCCACAGTCACAGTAGAGCATTGTCAGTGTTAGATTCCATTTCCAAATGTATAGAAATATATAGATTGCCAGTAATGTTTATTTGAAATGTGATTTGCTTGTATTAGATAATTTTTCAGTAAAATGGCTATGTAGACCAAGACCAAGGAGTTCCTTGGTCTTGATTGTAATCCTTGTCATCTCAGTGATTGTTCTGTTTTGGTACTTGTGAGTTGTGAGGGGTGTCACGGTGCATGTCCAGTGACCTGGCAATCTTGGTGACCATGTCTATTATTCAGGAATCTGCAGAGCCTATGAGTTTGGACATCCTGGTAGACAGTACAAAAGGGGTTCAGATGATGCCCTAGAGGAGAAACATCTTTTGTCTTTGCTTCCTCTTTCCAAAATTCAGTGTTTTCCTGGCTTCTTTATTAATTTTATGTCTCTGCCCCAAACTTGTTCCCTGTAGTTTGTCAGTTTGTGCTGTTGATCATCTGTTGAGGAGACCACTTTTGAAATAAATTAGAATGAACAGACTTTTCTTGACTGAATACAAAAGAAATCAGTTAATTAATTGCTTTTTCTTCCCCCAGGAAAGTAACTTTTGAAAAACAGTGGTTCTACCTGGATAACGTGATTGGCCATAATTATGGAGCCACATTTGAAGTGACTAGTGGAGGAGGTCTTCAGCTCAAGAAAAAGAAGGAAGAGCCTACTTCAGGTGCACCAATTAGAACTGTATCTTGGTGGAATGAAGCAAATACTTCCTTCAGCAATGAAATAACCTGGATTCTGGCTCTAGCCCACTATTAACTGACTCCCTGACCTTGAACCAGGCAGTTAATCCCATGAGTCTTGCTGTTTTGTTGCAAAAAACTTTTTCAGTATCCAAAAGCTAAGAAACTGGTGCAGAGTCATGGATAGGGTGAAGATTAGGATCTGGCTTTGAATAAAGTGGCTAGGTTTAGTGCCTGCTTTATTACTTGACTTGCAACTTCGGGCAGATGATTTGATTTGTGTGATTCTAATTCATTAAGTGGGGACATAAACATGTTTAATGCCTAGGTTATGATGCGTGTTTAGTGACATAGCCTTCTTAGGAAGATCCCAACAGTGCCTTGCCTATAGTCAGGTCTTATAATTTTAGCTATTATTAACTGAAGATAAATTCTTGCTTATTTAAATTAACATTTCCAGTAAAATATATTTAAATAATTACTAAAAGTTAATTTAAATACTGTTAAAGTTCTAAGTCAGAACAATTAGATACTTTAAAATTAACATCTGTATTTTTATTAAGTATCAAATAGGTGCCAGGCATGATTAGTTCCCTAATCATGCCTGGCACCTATTTGGTACTTAATAGCAATTTATTTTATTTTTTATTTTATTTATTTATTTAATA